GTTTTCCTTCTGTCCGCTCACTTTGCATTTTGTAAATTGATAGACATAAACAATTACAATATATATATATATTTTTGAAAGCATTCTTACTTTACAGCATTTTTTCACACCTGCCTAAAACTTTTGCACAGTACTATATATTTTAAAAATACACCACAAATACAGATCAGTGGTTTTCCTTCTGTCCGCTCACTTTGCATTTTGTAAATTGATAGACATAAACAATTACAATATATATATATATTTTTGAAAGCATTCTTACTTTACAGCATTTTTTCACACCTGCCTAAAACTTTTGCACAGTACTATATATTTTAAAAATACACCACAAATACAGATCAGTTTCTTGCTAATAATGCAGTTCCACCTAAAAACAGGCTCAGTGGTCTCAGATGATCAGCTACACAACAGACAAAAATAAATGAAGATATATAATGTACAGTAACTTCCCACATAATCTGCTAAAACTTAAAAATGGTTTAAACTAATTTGTCATTATCAATAATTATTTTTTAAATAACTCTGTAATTACTGTTTTTCTGAGTTAATATTAAACATATTAACACCCCATATAATATCTATAAAATATTCTGAAGTGTAGAAACCATTTTATTAATTTTTTAAGGAAATGAATTATTTTGACACCTTTTACTATAATGGTAGAATTGCTACAATTAATATAATTAGCCTACCAGATACCTCACAATTCTTAACTCCCAAATAATAACAAGCATTAAACCAAATGAGGAATTTTACAATGGGAAGCAAAGGACAGGCAATACAAAGACAGCATTTTTAAACCCACTCGCATCATAAAGTATTTGGTAGGCAACTGGTTATTGTGGAAAGCAAAGGTTCTAGTCTAATTTGTTTAGATCAGCCAGTTTCTAGTCCATGCTTTCTACAATAACTAGATGGCTAAAACAACAGCTGTTGCAAGCAGTGACTTTGTTATGGCTTGTTCATCTTGTGCTTCACCTTCCTTATACAGTGGTACCTCGGGTCACGAACGCTTCTGTTCACGACCAATTCGGGTCACGAACAGCACCATTCACAAAATTTTGCTTCCGTCCATGAACTCCGCA